TCCTCCCCAGCTTGCCCCGGTTCACCTCCCGCCCACGGAGTGAAGTGGAGCTGAGCTACCCCCTCAGGGATCCCCCTCGAAGGCGAACACACCTCATTCGACTTGTTCCTCAGACGGACAAATTTGCCCTCCAAGTCCACCTCCTCCACACCGACGCGGCCGCTTGTCCGGGCGTGGTGGGAGAAGCTGGTCCGACTCTCGCCGTCCTCCAGCTTCCTCTTCTTGGAGGAGCCCGGGGTGGACAAGTGGCTACGGGATGCACCTTTGTGGGAGGAAGGGCTGGGGGACAGCCTCAGCCTGGGCAGAAGGAGAAGGTGAGATGGAGTCAGCGAGGACATGAGGGCTGGGGCCCGCATAGCCCACCAGGCGCAGCACCCCGTGCTCACCGCTCCTCCTCGCCCTCCAGCAGCTTGCGGTAGGCGTTGATCTCCATGTCCAGAGCCAGCTTGATGTCCAGCAGCTCCTGGTACTCGTCCAGCTGCTGCTGCATGCGTGACCGCATCTCAGCCATCTCCCGCTCCTTGTCGGAGAGCAGGCGCCGGTTGGTCTCGCGTTCCCTGGCCAGAATATCCTCCAAATCGTGCAGCTTCGCCTCCTTGGCAGCCAGCTGTGCAGGGAGGGAAGGTGAGGGTGGCTGCTCCACCTGGGGCCGTCCCCAGGAGGGGACCATCCCCAGGGGCAGACATCCAGAGGAACCCCTTGGTCCTGACTCACCTGCTTCTGCAGCTGGCTGACTTCGGAGGAGAGGCTGTCAATGCGGGTGTGGGTTTGTTGTAGCTCCTCGTGGGCAGCACCCACCATGTTGCTGTTCCTCTCAGCCGACTGCTTGGCGTTCTCCAGCTGGAGGACAAGACGGGTGGGTTAGCATCCCCGGCACCCTCTGCCCACCGGCACCCCGCACGGTAGGGTGGGAAGAGAACGGCGGTGTGTGGGTGCTGCTCACCTTCGCCCCGTAGGTCTTCTCCAGTTCCTCCTTGTAAAGCCTGATCTGGGCTTCATGCTGGCTCCGCAGGTCCTGCAAGGCTTCGGAGAGCTTGCTCTCAAACTCCCGCTGCCGCCCGTTGTCGATCTCCACCAGCCGGGTCTCGTGGCGGCGCTTGGTCTCCCGCAGCTCCTGGGGACAGGTCAGGGGACACAGCGTCACCTTGGGGTGGGATCGGCTTGGGGATGGGGACACAAAACATGGGTGGCGTCACCCCAAGCAAGCCTGGCACCGCAGCGGCACATCGTGGCTCACCTCGCTGTAAATGTTTTTCTGGAACTCCAGCTCTTCCTTCAGCGTCTGCAGTCGGTTCTCAGCATCCACACGGCGCAGCATCTCATCCTGCAGCTGCTGCTTGGCTTCGCTCAAGGCGCTTTCCAGCTGCAGGGAATCGAGAAGGACCGTCACTACCAGCGCCTGGGGACCGACCAGGCACAGCAACCGGCGGGGACCCACCACCCAGCCGCGTCTCTGCCCCACGGTCCCCTGGCACAGCGGGGATCTGGCAGACCCCAGGCGGGCAGAGGACAAGGAGGGGTCCCTGGGGCAGTTGGGGACAGGGCTGCCACCGCTCACCTTGGCCACCTGCGCCCTCAGGTCGCGCACTTCAGACTCCAGATTCCTCTTCTCGCTCAGGGCTGTGGAGAGCGCAGCCTCCTTGGAGTTAAGCAAAGCCTCCACGTCCTTGAGGCGCGCCTGGGCGGTCAGCAGGTCCCCTTCCTTCTTGGCATTCC